CCATCCATCCATCCATCCGTCTATCCATCTGGCTGGCCTTACATCCATGGGTTCATGCATGCATACCTAATTAATCACATACCAACATAAATTCGATTCCCATTTGCCTCCGCGTTCTTTTGCTCCATCGCCCTCACTCTCTCCAGGAGCCATCGAGGAACTACGCACGGATTGAGAAGCCAGAGTATGTCCTGCGAAGCGACCAGTGCCTTGGCCACAGACGTCTGCAGCCGTATTCGGAACCCAAAAAGGACATAAGCGTAAGCATATTGTAGGGATATCCCTACCGTATTGGGCTTCATTACAAGGGGATTTATATGGGATATCCCTATCTTAATCTTTGCTTATGTGCTTTTTTGGGGCCCTACGTATACCCCCGACAATCCAACGGCTGAGTTTTCTGCAGTCAGCACCATGTGCGTAATTACATCTTGCATTCCGACAGCATGGTCCCGGGGCTTTGGTGTCGTCACGGCTTCCAAACATCATATGCTGTAGTTCCTTCGTCTTTCTTGTAATCAGTCTTCTTGAAGCAAGGGTGCATTGCGGGTGGAGACCTAACAAGCCTAAACTCGCAACACGGCGACTTGGACTGTCAGGGCGTGCTCAACATGGTAAGTTGTGTATGTGTACATACACAGAGTTGAAATGAATTGTTTACTTAAACATGCATGTATGTTATGTATATATATATATATATACATGTGTGTATACATACGCACACATGGATATTGCTTTGAAGAGTTCAACCTAAAAAGGCACGGCGCATCAGCGCCAAGGCCGCAGTGATGGCTGCCAACTCGGGGCCGTTTAGCTCCACTTCCGAGGAGACCCCCGGGTCTGAGTCTGCAGTTCCACCTTGACTCTACTTGGAGGTTCATGGGTAGGCATAAGTGGGGTTACTATAGGGGTTGGGGTTTAGGGTTTAGAGTTCAGGGTTTAGGGTTCATGGGTAGTTATAACTGGGGTTATAAGTAGGGTGACTATACTTATAACCCATATTAGGGGACTTACAACCCCACTTATAACTACCTATGAACCTCCAAGTAGTCGCTAAACCTGCATACGCCGAGTTCTACAAGGCAAAAAGACTTACTCCTCTGAAGTGTGAAGCCGACACCAAAAAAAGGTCAAGCCCCATGACTCTTAAGCCCAAAAGCCCTCAATCCTAAATTGTGGAGCCTTGGTAAATTTCAATTCCGCGAAGCCCTTTGCTTCCAAACCTGAAAGCCGAAGCAGAAGGCTTCAAGAAACCAGAAGTCGGTTCTTCCAAGGTATCCAAACGGATTGGCATTCGACCCTCGCGGAAGGCCAATGGGGCTGGGGTTGTCTATGAAAGTTGCTTTTCTGATGGCCGTGAAGATGCAAAAGCCAAAATCCCGACGCTGCCATGGGCCCCAAACACTAAACACTTTGCATTCGATGCGGAAGAATGTCGGGGAATGAGATTGTTTCGACAGCTGGGCATCACGGGTGGGAGGCTCCAGCTGGCCCTTGGCCAGAGCTTGCCCAGGTTTGAGGTCAGGGTCAGTTATCGGAGAGCATTCAGCCATCCACCAACACCTGCCGCGGCAGTCCCAGACAGACTTTACACCCAAGGTACATGAGCGATAGACGGACTCGACCGCACCCTGCCGAAAAATCCTAAACCCCAAGAGCTACGAATTCTAAAGCAGGCTGAAGGCCTACACCCCAAACCCTAAACCCCTAAACCCTAAACCTCTACGCCCTAAACCCCTAAGCCCTAAACCCTAGACCCTAGACCCTAGACCCTAAACCAACCGACCAACCGCCTGTGAGGCTTGCGGTGGCGCACTATTATGGCTCGCTTGAGGCGCCGGAAAATTTCCGGGTGTGTGGGTTTAGGGTTTTGGGTTAGGGGTATAGGGTTTAGGGTTTAGGGTTTAGGGTTTAGGGTTAAACAGCTGATGATCGGAGACTGGGTTCAAAAAAAAGGGTTAAATTCATCCGGTTACGCTAGGTTGAGGCCGTGAGGATGGGGATTCGAGCTTTAGGGTTATAGGGTTCAGGAGCTTGGCTGAAGGGATTCAGGGCTTAGTGCATTGCAGTCCCTGCTCCAAAAAAAAGGGTTATAGGGTTTTAGGGTCTTAGGCTTTAGCCCTCATTTGGTTCCCAGCGGCTCTTGCAGGCAGGATGCAAAAGGGTTTAGGATTTGAGGGTTTAAGGGGTTTAGGGTTTTAGGGTTTTGGATTTCAGGGTTTTAGGGTTTTAGGGTTTGGGATTTAGGGGTTGGAGGGTTTATAGGGTTTAAGGGTTTGGGGTCTGGGGTTTACGGGTTGCTTCCCAGCTGATTGGCAGAGCCTGGGTTAAGGCTTACATTGGTTCTGCAGGATTCCTGGGAAGATGCCTTAGGCGAGACGGTCCCCCAAAGCCTGAATCCTCCACCACAGCCAAATAAGTTCCATGCCCCATATCCCGAAGCCACAAGCATGCCCTTGCCCTGTGAGATGAACGCCAATCCGGGCCCAACATAGAAAAGCTGCAAGCTGCGAAAACCTCAGTATTGGAGACCCTTGCAGCCTCTGCCCTAGAGTACAAAGCTTTGACCGGATAGATTCGAGTCTCAGGGTTTCATGCCTCAGAGGGCAGATGATGCCCCGGCATGCAAAGTTGAAAGACCGTAGAGTGATGCTTACTGTCGAAGTCAAAATTCGCAGACGTGAATAAGGCAGGCTTCGTGGCCTCAAGGCATCGTGAAGTCGGAGGCATCGCCTGGACCCTGTCGTCCCAAGACTCCCCGCAGAAGCCTTTCAACGGACTGCTTACTAATGACCCGAATCGAAAGTGTTGCAACACCCACACACAGCCCCATCGAAGTCAAGAAGACCGGAGCAAGACCAGATAGTGATTCAGTGGCTTCGTGTTTTTGAGGTTGACAAAGCAAAACAGCCATCGTAGAAAACTCGCAAGAAGATCAGCAGCTGCAACGAAAGAGATCGGTACACGCAGTTATCATGATCAGTGTGTGTGTGTGTGTGCGTGTGCGTGTGTTTTTCTTGAGTTCGACACCCTGGGATTTTGAGCCCGTCCTCGTTTTCGAAGGTTTGGGATACTGACTTCGCCACCAAGCTTTACAAGGACCCCGGTGGGATGAAAGCCGCCTCCAGAGGGCTAGCGGTTGCTGCGAACTTGAGAGTACGCTGCCGCCGAACTCTTGAATGTGCTTCCTTTGCCTTGCAGCTTCCTGTTTGCTTCCTACTCCACAGAAGAAATTCAGAAGCAGGAAGATGTAGCTATGAGAAGTCTTCCGACACTACATTACCTGAACGTGAGCCTTAGGGTCTTAGCCAACGAAAACATCAGCGGTGCAGGGCCAGATGGGAGGAGGAAGCGAGCCCAGCCAGATCTGCTTCAGCCCAGGCCGCTTGTTGGCATTGTGTCTGGAATCCACAGACTATGCAACAAAGGCCACGAAGTCGATGTCGAAGTTGTTCCCTGTGTTGTTAGGCTCAGGGTATCCCGATTGCATTTATCGTTGGTGCCTGTTTCGCTATCCGCCGCAGAACCTGCGCTTGAAATTGAACCCGATACGCCCCACACTCTGAGCCCTTATCCCTAAGCCAAGGACACACAAATCGCCCTATCTGCAGTCTTTGACTTCATGCCCCTCCCCCCGACCTACCTGAATGAGCACCGGGATTCAGACCTTTTCCTTTGAAAGGGCTTCGAGGATAGAGCAATAGCAATGCAAACATCACTATGTCATTATTCGCTTTGCTCTACGTTCTATCTAGACATGCTCCTTAGGCTGGAAGTTCCTAAGCTTAAACCCCAAACTACTATTTTTTTGTGGCGTTTGCCGTGCACTTCATCGCAAAGGCCAGGGGCCAACAACCAGAAAGGGACATTTTCACATCTTGTTCCGGGGTCTTCAAGGTCCCCGGTCGGGAGAAGGTGGGATCCCTAAACTATTAAATCCCCAGCCCCAACTACTTACATCTAAAAGTGGAAAATACCGAACCCTTAATCGCCCACTACGCCCTACGCAAGAGAAGAGCTTGAGACGGCTTCAATGATCACAGGCTTCAGGGGTTGGGTTGCTGGTCCCAGCAAGGTGGCGAGCTCGTGGTGGCATTCCGGAGCGGCTATGTGACATGGAGAAACCGTGTTGGGTGCAAGCACGCTTTTGGTAACCTCACGGAGGGTGGAAGTAAGACTGGGCCGAAAGCGGGTTTTCGAAGTTGCCAGCTTTGAACTTGCAATCCTTTTTCCTGCAAATGCCCATCCAAAGCGGAAACACGATTGCCTAGTTCTTCGCTTCGATTTGGATGGAGTTGGCCAGTGGCAGCAGTTTGCGTAAAGCCAGGGTATCGTCAGGCGTAGGTGCTTCCGTCGTTGGTTTCACACACTGTGGCATGCTTTTGACCTGCTTCCACGATTACTCATGGCTATGGCTCAAGGTTTTTCTTAGTTTAGAGTTTAGAGTTGCTCTGCTGAAATATATTGTTGTGGCACTCGGATATTCTCTGAGCTGCTTTTCGTCATGGCATCCAGCAAGGGCGACTCGCACCATCGAAAGCTCTGCGTGTTCATGGCTGCAGTTGAGGAGAATCCCAAGGAGTTCAGCGAATTCATCGATCGGAAAAGGACGCTTACGGAGCTCCGCATCGCTCACCAGGAGAGCCTCTCCCGCAACAGCAGCAGGTTCGGTGCAAGCAGCAAAAGCAGCACCTCTACCGGGGAGCATCGCAGAATACATATCATCCAGCTCTAAGCAAACCGGAAATGTGCGGCTCGGACAACGTTCACGCCCTGGCTCGTCGGCTTCTCCAAACTACGTGCTTGTGGCTGCAAGGCTATGAGGATAAGTCTATCTGGTAGAGCCAACTGGCCGGGTGCGCTGAGTGGAAAACATTGCTTGCGAACTGCGTACAAGCAATGTGGACGTAGTGCATTTGCGAAGATGTGCGAAGACTACGATGAAAGCAATGCATCAACAGTTGTTTTAAACACCAGAGCACCTGACCTGAGCTTCAGTTCTGTTCCCACGGAGTGGGTGACGAAAGTACGTCGACGCGCTTTCTTGGAAGGCTAGTGTTAAGCACAGCCATCTTTCCATCCTAAACCTAATCAGTACGGATTCAAAAAAAAAGAGCACCTGACCTCGTGTCGCAGCTGTGTACTTCCTAAGTCAAAGGGCAAACCCAAGACTGGAAGAGAATGGCAGGGCCTGTTTTGTGATGGCAGCTGGGGAGACCCGCAGCCTTTTGGTTTTGCTCTTGTTTTGTCTGCCACCCCGCTGGATCCCGATGATGATGATGGAGTCATCCGGGGAAAGTGGGGGAATGGTGGCGGAAATCGTAAAGCACCCACGAACTCACGAACGGTGGTCAGAGCACCAGACGAAGGCGGTAGTCGGAGCCAAACCTCGAGTGCATTGATGTTATTCCAGTGATTCTAGTGTTGGGTCAGGGTATTCTGAAATGCATGAGTCCAAATCTCGAGAGCTTTTGTTTGGAAATTTCTGGCCACAGCATTTTTTCTCGCATTGCTGGATTCGGGCTGTGCAGACATTGACAGAGTCATCCGCTGATGCAAACTGCAGGGCTGAAGCTTTAGATGTTTAGGTTCTTAAAAGTGCACCCGTTTCCAGCCAAATGGGCGAGTCCTGTTCGGTTGCTCTCATTGTGCCATCATGTAGACGCAGTGAGTCGATGTTGATACAGCGGAAGCTTCGCCACTTTCGTCTCTTTCTAGTACCTATATTGCAGTGATAGCCACGGACACACGCACACACACACACACACAGACATGAGGATGCTATTTCTCGTAGTGCCGATACTTCCCAGATTCATGTCAGGAATCTCGTTTTTCCAGCGAGGGGTGCCAGCGTCCTCGGTTCGCCGTGTCATAGGAGGGCAGCACCTCTACACAAGACTTCAGTTGCGCTCAGACGAGCTGCAGCAAACACATTGCACCGCAAGGAGCATTAGCCGGAGGCAGCTTCAGCTTTGCATGAATTATGCCGGTTCAAACCGGCAGGGAGCATGCAAGTTGCTTACATGTACTCTTGCTCTGCGGCAGCAATGTCTGCGGGGGAGACTCTACGTAACTTTGGGCATTTCCCTGCAACGCGCCGAATTCCGTTTGGTACGATGAACCGATAGCTACCGACGGCCCCGGTGGAGATGCAGGAATGCTCCTTTTAACATCAGGGTACTTGCATGGCCATAGGTTGGATGGTGTTCATGCAGCAGGTTACTCGTCAGTTCTTCATGACTTGTCTTTGTCATACAGCGGATCGTGCTAGTGTTCCACTCTGTGGCCCATGGGCTCATCATGGCCAAATAGGCTTTTCTTAGCCCAGCTTTTTTGCCAATTCGTGCTATGGTCTGCGACGACGTTTCTGAGGCTTTAATTTGACCCGTACAGTTGAGCCTTTGAGAAACGAAAAAACCATGGACCAACGTCGCCTGCAAAAAAACATCGCCTGCATTGCCCGAGTTGCGAGAGTCTGAACCGCCTTAGAGCCTGAACACCCTAAACCCTAAACCCTAAACCTGCCTGAACCATTGAAAGTCCCACGGCATAAAGAACCCTTACTTGGGGGTTCATGGGTAGTGGTGAACGGGGTTATAAGTGGGGTAACTCTTCTTCTAACCCATATTAGGGGACTTATAACCCCACTTATAACTACCCATGAACCTCCAAGTAAGCCCTAAACCCTTGACGGACATATGTGGAGCCTTGCCAGCTGCGTGCGAGAGTGAGAGTCGAAACCCTAAACCCTGAACCAAAAAGAAACCCTCTCTGAAAGACAAGTTATGGCGCAGCCCTGGATGTGTATGTGGCAGCAGCTTTTCTTTCCTACTGAGTTTGACTGATAATATGTACCTTAGCACTTGCCTGGACGACTGATGAGTACACTGGTGAGCTGAGCTGTGTCGAGCTTTTCAGAAGTCCAACAGTACAGGCTTTGACACAATAAGTTGTGAAGGATGTGAAGGATGTGCAAGAGTGAGAAGCAGGAAGATGGCATTTTGCCTAATTCCGTGCTTGAGCGAGACTATAATTAGTAACCATAGCAAATGAGAGTGAGTTGAGCGTGTCAATGGGCACGTGAAGTGCACTCTTAGCTGCCTCAGCACGCGCGTCC